GATCCGAAGGACGATAAACACCTTTGGTTGGATACACTAGTTGACGCGGCAACTAGCCGACATAAATGACGTTTGTGTCGTGAGTTTCTTTGTCCCTCCCATCCCGTTTATCTTCCTCCACCAACCACGATCTCCCTCGTGATGCATAATATGTCACTAAGTAGTGTGTTCTCTATTTTGTATTCTGTAATGTTCAGGATCTTCATTTGTCATATGACTCATCGCTATGTATTGCGGAACCATAGTTGAATTGTCTTTCGCAACTTCAGCTAATGTGTAATGATGATGATGGTGATGACAACAGACCAAAAGGTAGATGTCAACTTTTGGGTAAGTTACTTTAGATATCCGCCTCCTGGATTAGATAGCGAAGTAGTTAATTCGGGATGACATGCGCTAACATCTAACCTAAGCAGACACAATGATTCCATTTTATTGAAGTAATTCAAATGCACGTTAGTTAGAGGTGTAAAACAGTTCAGCTACTGTGCCGCAATACATAAAAAGAGGAAAATAAATACAACAGTTGCATGTCAGCTGAGCTACCAGCAACGGATGGGCATTGTTCCGGAAAGCTACCAGCCGGCTACTAGGCAACGAGAAAAATTATGATGTAACATTATATGCTACGAAATGAGATTGTGGTTGGGGGGAGGCTAAAAGGAATGGAGAAGGACAAAGAAACTCACAGCAGGAACACCACTGAGGTTGGCTCTTAGCCATGTCAGCAAGTGTATCTAGCCAAACGTGTTCATCGTCTATTGATCCCCAACCAGCGAGCCGTGAAGATCCAACCGAGCCTCCATTCCTCTCGACCAAGCCATCGCTAAGCCACCTCGCTTCTTCTTCCATCCACACCCCCGGTGACCAAACAACGCAAGTCGCGGAAGTCGCTGGGCTGGCATACGCAACACGTGGCCGAGCAATCGGACCCTGGTGCATGAAATGACGGTGCTGAGCGGCTCAGTTCCTTTTCCTGTGCCGTAAACAAGGCGTCGAACATGCTCGTTGTTTACTCGGTGTACCATCTAGATGTGAGCTAAATTGCGAAGGCACCGATGGTCGAACGTAAGTAGCCTCTTTATGTTCGCCGATCTTAGGGGCCAGGTTTCGCAACCGTACAGTAAGGCCGAACGTACCGCTGCACTGTACAATCTGCCCTTCAGGACGAGAGGAATGTCGCGCCCGCGCCATAGGTGGCGAAGACTAGCAAAAGCACTTCGAACTTTTGCTATACGGTTCGTGATCTTAACTTCTATCCCAAAGGCGCTGGTAAAACCTCCCAGGTAGTTGAATTTCTGAACGACTAACTGATCCCCACCAAGGGTCAGCACAGGAGGCGATCCTTGGCAATCTTGGAGGAACGCTTTGCACTTCGGTGGTGCAAAGCAAAGCCCGAAGCGACTGACAGCCAGTGCTAATCTGTCCAGTGCAGCTTGACAACTCTGGGAGCTGTCACAGATGAGGGCAATGTCGTCTGCATACTCTAAGTCAAGAAGTCGTTCTCCTGGGAGTAGCTCCACACCTTCCAAGTCATGTCCTGTAAATGCAATCTCCATGACTTCGTCTATAGCGAAGTTGAATAGGAAAGGTGACAGCGGGCATCCTTGTCTCACACCGCTGGAGATATTGAAGGGTGTCGACAGCCTGCTGTAAGCCCTTACTCTGCCCGTGCTACGCGCATATAATGCTTGGATAATATTTACATATTTCTCGGGCACACCTTTCCTGAGTAGACAATTCCAAAGGGCACATCGATCAACCGAATCGAAGGCACCTTTGATGTCGAGGAACACGACTACGGTGGGCCGCCAATATGTGTGACGGTGCTCCAACAACTGACGCAAGGTGAAGATGTGGTCGATGCAGCCACGACCCCGACGAAACCCGGCTTGCTCCTCACGAATCTGGCTTTCACGAGCGCCAGTCAGTCTGTGGAGAATTATGGACGCGAGTAATTTGGAGGCGATGGAGATCAGACTGATTCCTCTATGGTTGCCGCATTCCGAGCGCGAGCCGCCTTTGAAGATGGGAACAATAACGGAGCGGCTCCAGTCGGTTTGGACAGTTTCCTGCTCCCACAGTTACGCTAATAATTCGTGTAAATCATCAACAAGAGCAGAGCCCGCGAATTTGAAGAGGGCTGGAGGTTGACCATCTAGTCCTGCGGCTTTGTTCAACATCAACAGTCTGATCTCAGGTTAGACTTCTGAGCGAGAGGGCGGATTCAATGGGACAGCCCAAGAAGCAGGGTGATCACTGGCCCGTGAGGAATCGAATAATTCCGGCCGATTAAAATTGCTTTTCAAGATGCTCAGCCCAACGCTCCAAACGTTTCGAGAAATTGTGGATAGGCTGTCCACTCTCGACACAAACTGTTTCCCTTACACTAGGTCTCCTGCTGCCCGTTTCCAGTATCAGACGGAATAACTTACCATGGTTACCAAGGGCAGCGGCTAGTTCCATCTTTAACGCAAGAAGACACCACCAGGATTCGCGGTCCCTCTTTAGGCTAGCACGGAGTTTCGCTGTGTTCGCTTTCACCCGAAATATGCCGGCGACCATCAATAAGTTCCAGAGACCGCGAAAAGACCCAATGTCCTTGTCGGTGATTAGACTTACCACATGAGGATTTGGATACTGCTAGTAAGGTCTGGTGAACATGCGACCAGTGACCATCAATTGTCTCCAGTGGGCGTTTACTCAACTCGCATGTCAGCGTACTTTGATAGGCATTCGGAACAGCTGGCTTCGTCAGTTGGCTGGTGTCAATGCGCACACAGCGTCGTCGTGGGCGTCCGCCAAAACGCATCCGCATGTCGGCACATACAAGTGCATGGTCGGTGTCAACACATGTGCTCCAAATTGAGCGACAGTTCTGGACGCAGCCTCTCCAGCGGTAACTGATCGCAAGGCGATCGATTTTCGTCAAGCCTGGTGGTCGCCAAGTCACCCTCCGGCGGCTGCTTTGTCGGAAGTCAGTGCTCGCAAGAAATAAGCGGGCATCTTCACACAAATGAAGTAACTGCTCACCGTTATCATTACGAGAGCCTACACCGTGCTGACCGCCTAGATGCATTTCATCAGTGGACAATTTCCAACTTGTGCGTTCAGACCCCCCCCACAGCACAACAGTGTCCGAGCTTCTTATGTGACGAAGGAGCTGGGTCAGTTGGCGGTAGAAGTTGTCACTATCACTATCACTATCACTATAGTTTGTGGGCGCATAGGCAGCGATGATGAATAGTAGTCCGTGCGACTTCGAAGCTTTGAACGAGCCAGCCAAGCGGACTGCACACATCCGGCTACTGACTGGGATTCAATCAACCAGAGCAGATTCAGCCCGGGGACTCAGAGCAATGCCAACACCAGCTCGGCCGGGACTCGAAGCTGCATCGTCACCGGATAGGCGCAATGGGAAAGTGTTGCTGGTGTCACCTGAAGGGGATCGCAGAGCTCGAGTCTTGCAGGCGGGTCTCCGATGGAGAGTTTAAGTTTAGGCAAGTGCTGCCTGTTGACCGATCTGTAGTAATGTGCGTACATTGAGGCATGCTAATCTGAAGGAGGATCGAGGGCTCTAAATGGAAGCCGATGAACTGGGGTGGACCGCTTGGTTGGACATGGGCTTGTCGACAGGACAGGAGAGACGCTCCGCGTTTGCATGTGAGCTGAAAGTAGATGAACGCCAAGCAAAGCATGTTGGGGGAGAGCCAAGAATCAGGGGGTTGGAAACTGGGGGATAAAAGTGAAGTTGGAACGAGACCATAAGGGAAAAAGCGTAAGAGGGGGAATAAGAAGGCGGGAAGGCTTGAGCAGTAGCATCCAAACCCCTACCCACCCTGCTCGATGCAGCAGATAGAGCGCCGTTGATTATCTTGTGCGGTGGCCAGAGCATCAGAAATTTGTTTGAAGAGTGATCCATTGTATTGCGTGGGCGGGATACTGTCAGGTTGCCCAGGCCTAGACTGGAGAATGATTAGGATTCTCAACCAAAGCCTTTCGTTCAAAAACCTGACCGCAAGGCAGCGGGTTTGGCGTTGGGCTACAAGGATTCCGTTTTAAGGAATAAGGAGCCATCCTCATTCGAACCTCCAAACTGCAGGATCAGGAGGCTGAGTTTGTCTGGCCTCTAACCATTGACCAATCTAGTATGAGTGGCTCTGAAGATGCAAAAAAGCACCACCCAGCATAGCTCGATGGATTACTGAAGCACACAAACCATCGCACCACGGTAAGGTCCAGTATCAATGCGATGGATTTCATCGATGTGCCACAGAATCAAGGAATAACAGACTAATCTTTGATGTTGCTTTTTGTTTTGTTTATTGTGCTCATGAGGATAAAGCATACGTTTGATGAGACCTCTGTGGATGATTTCGGTCAGGTTAGAACTTCCTGAAACGTACCTTTAGCATTCTCCATGAGGTTGCTACCTTTCATCTTACCTTTACCACTTTCTGCGGACCGCTTATGATTTGGAGCCGAAGGAGACGCACCTAATGTCTACTGGGCAGCAATTAGGCGGCAACCTACAAGTATTAGCAATAGTACAATTATTATTATTATTAGTAGTATTATTGCTGGAGAACGTCTCTATTTGCACAGCTGGCGCCAAACGCCAAGGGCTCCTCTGTACGATGTTTGAACATCCGCCGTATTCTTTGTGTGAGCAACGGAAGAATGACGTGAACCAACTGGAGTTCAACTGACTGCGGTCTCTCTACATTCAGGTGCATCAGGCACTGAGTACTCCAAAATGCTGGATACTTGCGATACATGCAACTGAGAACACATGGAAACAAATGAAAGCGCGGTCTCGCGTTATGAATGAAGCATGACGTAGCGTAGGTTCATCACATTGTACCCCATTACTCTTGAGCAGTGAACTGTGGTGCGTGTCAGTGAACCAGAGCACAGGTGTAATTGTGGGGCTTACAACCAACTGAAGCCCGGTGCTCATTACATAGTGTAGTGAAGGCAATTCATAGCCACCAACGTACCTTGAAATCATAGGCACAACGCTGGATTAGCTCTGGAGCCATCCAGAAAGGAGTCCCAACGAAAGAGCCTCGCTTTGTGATACTGGAATTCAGCTGACCAGCGACACCGAAGTCAGCCAATTTCACGTCACCGTTGTACGAGAATAAGACGTTGGCCGCTGTGGTGCGGGAAAGCAAAAGCAAAAGCATGCAACATGTCATGTAGTTATGGCCAATACTTAAATTATGCATGTAAAGGTAATTGATGTTGGGCTATGTGTCACATAGAAGCGGCTAACATTCAATGTTACGAGCAAAGAGAAGCATGACGGCGACATTTAAACAGCTGAAATGCCATGGTGCTATGATTTCAATAGACCATAAACCCGAATTCTGGAGTTTCCTTAATGGACCAAAAGACAATGGTCACACATTTGCTTGGCAGGTAGGCAAACGAGGCAGTGTGTATATACATGGCTGTGTACAATTTAATTTCAACCTACGAAATCATGAGCTGCTTGCAGAATGCGAAAGAAGTCAGTAACGAGGTCTGAAGTGTGGGGTGACGATCCAATCCGAATGGGAGCATGTCAGTGTAGGCATCCTGATGCGGTCCGAATGAAAAAAGGAGAAAAGCAGAGGAGAAAAGTAAATTCGCAACGTGCCAAGTCGAACACAGCAACACAGACGAGTCCTAGTTTGCTGAAGCTGGACTGGTGAGGCCACTGAGACACAGCATTAGACTACGGGTGGAGAGGATTAGAGAAATATATCCCTGGTAGACTTATATGCACGGTAGATCGGAATGCGCCAAGCTAGCAATTGTAGGTTGGCAACCACTAAGCGTTCGGTTTGGGAGTGATTTGGGTACGGCAAAGCAACTGAGACCGGAGAAGGGTGGAAAAATAAGATGGGTGCATTCGCTCTGGGCATGATGGGATAATCAGTACACTAACCGCTCTACCTGGAAACGTGAAGAGCACATAAAGAAGCCTTGCTAAGGGCGCGTATCCCATTTCCACAGAATCGAATGAGACTGAGGACGTCTTACGATAATGCGATAACGATTACCTCGTGTCCGCCGGAGAAAAAAGGCAACACAGGATGAAAGTAAAGAAGGATCCGGCGCTAGCATCCCTGATCAAGTTAGACAGCTGTAGATCCAGTGAACCATGCTGTCATTACACAACCGATTACGATGGAAAAAGGTGGGAAGGAAACTAAGCAAATTGAAGCAAAGCATTGAGCTAGAACTACCAGCCAGGCCGATGGCTATATGTTGGACTTCGCTAGAGATCACTGAGGCTGCAATCTGCCACACCCACTAAACCTGTCGTTTTGCATTCTGTTTGTCCACCCTTTCGTATGCATCGAAGCGTCGCTCCCTCGTTTCTCCTCTCGCTGTCAACCCCCGTGAACTCGTCGCGATCGCGGTTTGCAAACACCCACCAGACTCGACTTCTAATATTGGTTGTCCATTCTTTTGTACGCACCTACCTGGAGACCCTTTCTCTCTTACCCTGCATACAGTGTCCATGGTATTTCATGCGGCTAGGTGGTGCCACATAAGCGCTTGTGTAAAGTTGGGTTCAGACTCCGACTTTGGTGTTCCGATTTGCAACTTGATTGCGTAGCTGTGAATACTCTGTTGCTTCTGTACTGGATGGTGTTAATCTGACTCGGGATTTCTACGCGTTGCCAAGGATCCCGAGTGAATTTGTCACCTACAATTAGGTTGAGCAGTTTGATATGTATCAATAATCGTGGAAAATGAGAAGGCGAATACCAGGGCTAAAATATTCTGTTGCTGCCCTACATGTAGTTGGACTTCAAAACAGTGACATTGCCGATATATTGGCACGTATCCAAGGAGACGCCAAGCACCTGTGGGACCATTTCAGTTGCAATCTATTATGATACGTTATCGTGACAACACCTAACCCTGTTCGGATCCGCCTCAAGTATAAGCTTGCATGACAGGGGAGAAATGGTGAGTAAAATGGCTTACAAGTGCACTGATGGAAAATGCCAAGAAAGTAGGTGATATAGCTCCCTTGCGGTGGGACTCGATATATTCGTAAGTGTTGTCGAGTAGGCTGGTGAAGAGAATTGAGTGATTAGGCCAGTTGTTTGTAATTTCTAGACCGAGCTGTTACATTCCCTGTTTCAACGCCAAAGAACAGACAGTAGAAATGGTCCATCGGCGTACGCGTGCATCACAAAAGCCGTTCTAATCGTCTACATAACCTCAACCATCAATGGATGCCGTGAGATTTCAGTGCACTGGCCAATAAATGATTACAGTACGAGAGTGCGGCCGGCGGTATCGAAGGAATAGGGGACATGGTTACTGTGCGTTGAGATGGCAGGAGATTGGCTGTGTTTGACTATCGGTATCTTAACGGCATCATTCAATCATGTCTAAACCGCGACAGGAACATGGTATACATAGCGCTGTGAAAAAGTCCTGCAATATCTTGAAAAATCTGAAGTTTGAGGGCTACTCGCACGAAAGTTATATATTGTTATGTTGATACACAAAGACAACAAACGGGACAGAAAGGAAATTTTTATTTACTTAGTTTTATTTAGTGAGCAGAATCACTTCTGCGTTCTTGGGAATTATGGCAGCACACTTGTCCAACAGCTTTCAGGGGACGATTACAAAGCACAGTACTATAACTTGGCCGTCAAGCATCCTAGAGAAATCACAATTTTTGGTTGTATGGACACCGATGAAGTTGGAAGGCTCCACATCGTTGATGGTATGGCCAATGCATGCAAATATGTGGAGATCCATAAAGACTGTATGTTATCATCAGCTCAAAGCTAATCAAGAAAGAATATTTCTGCTAGCATGACAATGTGCCATGTCATCGTGCGAAGACAGTCACGAAATGCATTAAGTAGGAATGAGGACGCTCTGACAGCCAGCTCAGTTCCAAGATATAGATTTAAATGAAAAGTTGCGGTAGAGATTATCACAAGAAATAGCGAAGAAACAGTCGAGGACGAAAAGAGAACACATTTAGTTCCTTATTGATGTTTGGAATCTTGTCATCTTCAAAAACTGGAATAAGAACAGAAGGCATGTGAATGGGAGCAAGGTGTCATCAACGCAGCCGGTCTACACTAATTCATCAAGCACAGAAATACCATTCCCGTCTATGTTGGGGATCATGCGTACCAGAGGTACACAAGGCGGTGGCTGAACCGTAATCCGCTTCACACTGGATGGAAGCAATCTTCGAGCCTAGCATGGCCACGAGGACCATGCATCCCGTCTCCCCCCTCTCAGCAACGATTTGCAGTCTCCTGGAGCCAGCATTCGAGGTGGAGGGTGTTAGACAGTTTATTATTATTAGTAGTAGTATTATAAACATAGTCAGCAGTCTATCGAATAGACAGAGCCAAACATAACCATGGAAATCACTAAAAGATGAGAAGCTGAACACCGTATCAGCATCATGGCACATTAACTGAAGGTGAGCAACACACCAACTATTGTGCCGCAATAGAAAAAACAACGGAGCATTTTTGTTATTTTACACACGCCAATTTTTTAATTTTTTGTCGTTGTTAATCGTTAAGCATTAAGTAAGCAAAGTCTAACAGTTATACACACAAATCCTCCACTGGATTCGATTACGAGCCATATGCTGAATTGTTTCCAGCCATCGGCTGGTCCTTTGGTCCCCAACCATGCAGGCGTGTGGATCCAATGGTGGCAAGACGTGAAGTCAACAATTTGATATGACGTCGCCAAGTGGATGATGGACTACCACGTGGTTTCTTCCAGTTGAGTCCTGCACGGGCAAACAGAGTGCCACAGGGCAAAGGCTCAGCTGACATACGCAGGACATGATAGGACCATCTTAACTGGCACAACAAAACCAGCTTGCTGAAGAGAATACTCGCATTCCCTAAGACTTGACATCTGACTTCACCGTTGCAAATGTGTTACTGCCACCACACACGAGCCATCCTCCTCAAGCACCCGTTGTCGAACGCCGAGAGCCGGCGCATGTCGTCTACGCGAACTGGCCATGATTCGCTTGCATATAGCAACACCGCCCAAACGGTGGCACTGTAAACACGACGCTTTACCAAGAGGGAGATATGCCGACGACGCCACAAGTTGTAGAGGTTGACAAACTTCGAATGAGCTTTGGCGATGCGAAGAGAAAGTTCATTTATAATGGTACCACTAGCAGACACACAGCTGCCAAGGTAGACAAAGCAGTCCACTTGTTCAAGCTGTGTACCTTCAATATTGAGCAAGGGAACAATAGAGTGCCAATCTTGAAGCGGCACTTTACACTTTGACGGGGCAAAGCACATTCCGTACCTAGATGCTTCAATCGCCAAACGGTCTGGAATAGTTTGCATGCTCCGTGAGTACTCAGCAAGTAAGGCGATATCATCGGCATAATCTAAGTCGGTTGCTTGCTTGCCCGGTAATGGCTGTATACCAAAATTCTGGCAACTGTCTAGAGCTCTCGACAGGATGTCTTCAATCGCAAAATTGAAGAGGAACGGGTACATACGGTAGCGTTGTCGTACACCGCTATTGGCAGCGTAGGACGACGAAATCATGCCATACACCATCACTCTGCCAGAGATGTGAAAATTCAGTGCGCGCAGGATGTCAGTGTACTCTATTGGGACACCGTCTCGTAGCAAACAACGCCATAGTGCAGGTCGAATAAGCGAGTCGAATGCGGCACGGATGTTCAAGAATCCAACGATGGTAGGCCTCTGGAAAAGGTATCAATGTTTCAGGATTTGACGGTGAATATCTGATCCACACACCCGCGGCCCGGTCGGAAGCCAGCTTGTTCTTTCTGGTACTGCGATTCGCGAATGGGAGATGGTCTACGGAGTAGACAGGTACTTTGTCAATAATCAAATCAAGCGCAGACACATCGGGGATATAAAACAACCAACATAGAGTTTGAGAGAAAGCAAACACGCAAAACTGACAGAGAAGTGGAATAACCTTTTTCCAGATTAAAAAGGTCTGATTTAAGTGTAAGTTGGTTAAACCCAACTACGGTGTAGGAACATCGTATATGCAACATCAATATCAACAGGAGGCAGATATATATATATATATATATATATATATATATATATATATATATATATATATATATATATGCATTCATGATGCTCCTTC